TCTTTTTTTCGTTCACCTGTATATCAACACCATCTAAACAGTACCTGGTACACAGAAGACACACAGTAAGAACTGGTTAAATAAATTAATGAATTCTAAATGCCATAAAACTAATTTAAAATTGTTGAATGACCCTAAGAAACTGTAAGTATGTTTTAAGAAACACAYGATTCTAGATTAAAAAATGTTTGAAGACAATAAATAAACCTCAAATACTGTCTTAATAAATACTGTTATATTACTCCTTGAAGATCATTATTATATAGCCACCATTTTTTTAAGAAATAAAATTTAAGATTTTTAAAAAGTGCTAATCTATTGTCAATAAGACTATTTCTGGTTGGATGTGGAAACATACCTGTTTAGTCACTAATAACTAATATCAAAAATAATAAACAATCACTTTGTGATTTTCTATGACACAAAAGAATGACATCCATACAGCTCAAAAACAAAGAAAAATCAGCTTTCTTCATGTCAATAACAAACATGAAAATAAATGATTCTCCAAGAATGTCATTTAAAAAAATATACTCCATTCTGGGAGAAAAGAAAGATGAATAAACAGGAATAATAAAGCAATCTATCTATAACCTGAAATCATGATGAAAAGTTGATTGGAAAAATACTAGAAATAGAAATGTTAGGGAAAGTAAGTAAGTGAATTCAGTGTATTCTCCTCAAAGAGTCAGTCTTGATAGTTTGTCCTTTATTGCTCAGATCAGAAAAGATTATACAAAATAGCTAGAAAGAAACATTCTCTTAACAATGTCACCTCACTGGTAGTAGGTTTGAATACTTGCTACTTTTCAATTCTGATATGATATTTTACCAAAGTTATTAGACAATGACAAAAATGTTGCATGTATTAGCAGGGTTATTTGGGGGATGAAACGAGTAAAAACGTATAAAATCTGAAAAACTTCAGACATTTTATAGCTTAAAAAAGAAAAATTTAATAGAACTCCAAACACAAGCAAGATTAGAAACTGGTCAAGTATAGGAACATTGCACATTATGTTTCTATAATGTGTTTCTATGTATAGGAATGACTATGAAATTGTCATTTCTAGTAATTTTCTTCTATAAACAGCAACAGTCACTGCTAGAATGGATGCTTGAAAACTTAGCAGAAATATTTTTTTCTAAATATTCTAATCTTCAAAACAAATGTTGGTTGTCAAATTCTTACTGCATAATCTAGAATGGTAATCCAAGTACTGTATTTCACTTGTAATAAGTCTTTGTAGTAAGGTTAACACTTCAACACACAATACAAATAAAGAGAGCTCCAAAAAATGAAAATTACTTTGCTTCTGTTTCTGTATTAGAATTTTATTTGCTAAAGGGTAAAAACAGATTTGCAAAATTCACAGTTAACTTAAAACAATAGTTTTAAACCTTTATTCCTAGTCCTTACTGCCTTCAGGAAGGAGAGAACATCTGGTTATTTAAGGAACACAATATGTTCACATTTTCTATGACTTTTGTTTCTAATTGGGCTTTAGAATTTTTTTTTTGAATTTGAACAACTAGCTAGAACAATGTTTTTTAATCACTTCATATTTTTTCAGACTGTCCTCCTTCTATCCCTCTAACTTCATTTAGTTGATTGTTTCTGGAAATCTGCTCAGTAGTTCTAATATGATAAAGAAAAGAAAGTGAAAATTAGAATTGTGGCCTGAAGAACTAAGTATAGAATCTGTATTTATGTCGTGCAGGGTAGAGAATGGTACAAATAGACATTTGACATCCAGTGTTGTCATAAAGTACATATTTCAAATAGTTCTTGGACCACTTTATATACAAAAAGTTTCACTTACTATAGCTACAAATAAATGTTTATCACAAATACTTTATATGAGAAATAGATAAGCAAGATACCACTAGTTGTAACACAACAAAGCTACTATAGTTCTTGTGTAGAAAAATGGCCTAAGATCTGAGTTCAATTGCTGACTCTGTGACCTAATAACTCTCCTGAGCTTCACTCTGATTATCTTATTTAACTATGAAAGGAGAAGACAACATTAGACTGTCTAGGCTCTTTATACTTCTGAAATTGTGATAACCCAAGTGAGGTATATTAATTAAGTGAGGTATATCATTGCTATATCTTCMTTGTCCCACAATATCTGAAGGTGATAACAGATTTCCAGATAATTCTAACACAAAGGAAATTAAGAAACTATTGATACTCTTTTAAGTTAAAATTGTAGGGCTAATTCACCATCTTGATAAATATGGAAGCTATGGCTTTTGTGGACTATGGATGTGGGTTCCAGAAATATGCCAGGGGTGAGTGAAGTTTACCTAGATTCAAGTCAGTGTGGTATACTAGAAAGAAGCACAGTATCTGAAGCAGAAATCAATTCTATTGTTATTTTCTTAATACCCAGCACATGTAGGATATGCAAAGCTAAGTGCTAAAAACCGAGCAGGTGTCTTAAGGAGAAATGATTGGTAGAACAAATATGAACAAAGATAAAACAGGTGCTGTGCAAACTTGAAGGGAAGGAAATATCCTAAAGGAACCTGRAAATGATTTTTTGGAAAAGATAAGATGGATGATAGAAACCTAAGGAGGCAAAGAGTAGGAACAGGATCAGGATTTTTTATAAGATATGGGTAGGGGTCTTAGTATTAACTTTCTCTCTCTTTTATTCTCCTTAGCATAAATGGCCTCTTTTATGACTATCATTAACAACAATTACAATGAAAATTGTACTTATAGATTTCTATAGTATAGGCAAACTTTTTCTTTTTTTTTCACTTGCACTTTTGTAGCACTGGATTGGATTGTATTAGCTCATTTGAAGTCAGTTCTTTATAGAKAAAGAAGCTCTGGAAGAGTGGGTTATCGTAGACAACTTCACTCAACCTCCAAATATTACAAAAAAGATAATGGCTCAGCAAGCATGAGTTTTCCAAAATAATGAGAATGGTCAAAAGCTGAGCCAAGGCTTGACCTAGATCCCCAATTCCTAACTCAGGTTCCTTGCAGAACACTACAGTGCTACAGACTTACATTAACACCTGTGTCAAGGACAGGAGTTCTCATTTGAAATTTCCTCATTTCAAAGAGTCTATACTCACACTACACTACCATTTGACTATAACTACCACTTTGATGGGCTAGAAATCCTTTGAAGATATACAACTTTTTTACTTTTCCTGTAGATATCATCATTCCATGAACTTGTCTTCTCATGAGTCTTGTTATTATGACTCCCTCACCCTGTCCAATTTCTTATGTCTCAGAAATATCAGTTTAGGGCTTCATATTTTGCACCAATATTTCGACTACGTTTTTACTTGGTGGGAAATTCCTTTTTTTAAGATAATAATGCTATTATTTTTTCTCTCAAACTCTAACGAACCTATAGTTTTAATGTCTGTAGAATTTTATTCATTAAACTATTATAATTTGGGCACTATTTATTGAGATAAAATTACTCCATAAAAATCACACTAATATGAAAGGGCACTTAGATTCTATTAGTCAACAGTGATGGACTGGGCATAAAGATTCTGAAATTATATGAGAGATTCCTAAGAAGATCAATCATATTTAGCTAGGAAAAAAATTGCCAAGACCTATAGATTTTTGACAACATATTCATTTCTTCCTTTAGTTAAATCAAATAAATCTCGTTAAGTAGGGAATTAAAACTGCTTTTAGCTTTTTTTTTTTCCTTCCACTCTAAGAATTTCTAATTCTGAACGGAAAAGCATTGGACTTAAGTTTGTAGATCAAAATTCATACTGAACTGAYCAGCAACCTCTTTTTTAAAGCTATTTCATTATCTTGTTTTTTTTTGTAAACAAAAAGTACATACTCTCACAACTTACATATACATATGTACATAAAAACATAAGCAAAGAACTTTATATTTTCATAGTCATACTCTTAAGTTTTACCAGAAAAAAATATGCTTCCTTATGTTTCAGAGAAATGATAGATTTCTGATGCTTAGTGAAATTCTTGGTGTAATAGAAATGATATAAAAAATTCATATTTCTAAAGAAAACGTACTAGCATAAAGAAAAAAAAATTAAGTCTGTCAAAGAATACACTGGGGAAATATACACAGGTTGAAGTCAGCAACCAAGGAAAGGGCAGAAATCCTTTAGAATCAAAATTTATATTAAATTTGAAGGACCAGACAGAGCTTTGGCAGTGGAATGCACAGACAGACTGACTGACTCACAGACAGTTCGACAATTGCCAACATGAGTGGTGGGAGGGCTGCCAAAAAGCCAAAGGCTGGGACTACCATCCAGCACCTGGCATTCTCAGACTCGGATTTGAAGCTTTCTCTCTTATACTGCATCCAATATTTTTGTTTGGCTCCAAAGTAGTAAGGATTCACAGATTTTTTTAGATCATTTAATGTTCTTATTTTCAAGAAATATAACATTAGTTGTAAAAGAGCACACATTTTCTCTGCAGTGTAAAGAAAATTKTGATGAACTGCTTTAAGCTCAAATGGAGAAATCAGTGTTAAAGTCTATTTAAATCTTTATTAGATTACTCTTAGTCCACAGAGTAAAAAATACATACTCACAACATGAAATAATTCAGTGATTCATTATATCATTAATTCTTACAGACCTTGTCCTTTTAACAGATCTACTTCTCCGACTTTTATATGGCCCCAGAGGTACTATTTGAATAAAAGTCATCCCCTATGAGGGGCACCAAGGATAATGAAGTGTGGCTGCAAGGAGAKGTAGTTGCTCAACTACTTCCTTGAGTGATGAGGAAGGCAGGAGGACCAAACAATTTTAGGAGATACAAGAGATGTGTGCTCTGATTCTAAATTGCATTGTCACTGAATTACTGGCTATTGAGGTATGTGAGTTTTGGYCTATGACTGTTTGACAAATTCGATTGCTAGGCAAACCATCTGTTATGGGAAATTTTTGATCAAACATATTCAGAGAAGCCTATTTTTCACCCAACTTAAAATTGTGCATATCCTACTGTGAAAACTTACCTTTGGGTCTCTAAGAAACAGAGCTTTAAGAATCAGTGAGTGCACATCCCCGATGAGTGGATAATGCATCAGAAGGCCAAGACAGGTCTGGTAGTTACTAGAGATCACTAAAAAAAAAAAAAAAAAAAAAAAAAGAAAAGAAAAAGAAGAATTCAAATACAATATTGATTGAGATATTTTATATTATATTACTGAAAATATAAAACATAACAACTTAGAGCCAAGAAAACAAACCAATAATTCAACTGATTTGATAAAAGTAAGGAGAAGATATCCTTATCAAATGGCCTTTGAAGCAACACACTGCATTGTTAGCAGCAATCTAATACACTAGTGCTTACCCTCAGGGGGTGCTGGGAGAAAAAAGCTTTAGATACAGTTATGTGTGTATGTTTGCAATATAAATTCTTAGAAACATGCATACTTACTACCATTTATAGGACTGTGCTTGAATGAATTTTGCTTTTCTGCTTAGAAATTAGTAACAAGAACCATATGAATGGGGAAGAACCAGTTAAAAATTCTCATAAAACAATATTTGCCTTGATAATTATGTTTGATAATTTATAAGTTATAGTTACTCTCTTATGTAAATATTATAAAATTTAAAATTAAAAAAGTAATCTCCCAATTCTTTGTTTTTCTGAAGGTAAAATGAAATTTATAGAGAATATCTATGAGCATTTCATTGGAGAAAAAAGTGACAAAATCTTCATAGATGAGTCTAATTGTGTTCTGCAGACTGTCATTTAATTTTTTTTCAAATCAACCTAATTATAGGTGCAATTATTAAACACATCTTTTCAGGCAGGTCTATGTAAACTACTTTGCTTCTTTGTAATCTATCTGCCACTGCTGTCATAGTTGGGCCCGTTAGCTATACTTGTTTGTGAGGCATATCGACTGCCACCATATAGCATTGACTGTGAACAACTTTACAATTACTTCCTGTAGTTGTATCTGAATCTTTTTCATGAACTTGTCACTTGAAAAATATTCCATAGGGAAATAACTGATTCAACAGAAAAAAATGCAAATAAAAAATAATTATTTCTAATCAGAAATATACTTGATTCTTAGTTTCCTTTTTTCTGCTGCTGTTGGAAAAGCCACTTCTTGCTATAGCTTCCTCTTCCTCTCCTGTCCCATGAGTGCTATGGGGAGAAGAGACAGAACTGGGCAAAATGAATAATTAGAACCTATGTAAGGAACCACTTTATCATCTTCATTTCTGTCGCTGATCTGACAGCTTATAATTTCATACATCTGTTTTCATTTGAATAGCACTCACTTATCTACCCTATCTATATCTGTTCAGACTCTTTTGTTCACTTTTCCATATTTACAGTTACTTGTCCTTTTTTTCTCAAAAATTAAAGACAGAATGAGGGCAGAATAGTATGTTTTCTTGTACAGTTCTCTTTGAGAACTAATAAGTAAATAAACCTAGATAAACCAACACATCTTACAACTCAATAAGTTATTTTCTCAAATGCTAAAATGATAATATATATTAGTAGCTGGCCAACAAAGAATTCTAATTATTTTGCATGAGAGAAAAGAGAATTCTGTAAAAAGGGTTTTAAAAGCTCAGTGCTCAAAAGATGTGGGTCTGAATCCTAGGGCCCCATTGGAATTTTTCATTAAGTTGCCTAAAATGGTATAAGTAATGGGACTGACTTAAAGCACCCTGTTCAAAATCTGTTTGGCTACCTTCTGTGAGCTTAAATTTAGTATTCTGGAAAACAACCTCCTGATTTTTAAAAATTATCTACTTCATGCAATTCAATAATTATTTGTTGAGTACCAACTTCATGACAAGCCCTATGCTAAGACAGGATGTGGAAATAAACAAAAAGAAGTCTTTGCTCTCAAAATTACAGAAGGGGAGAAGTATAATATTAGCAGCTGTTACTAATACTTACTATTAAGATGACAATGAATCACTCAAGGCTTCTGCAAACAGGACCCAAACTAAGAACTTTACTCCTTTGCATTTAATTGTGATGACAACTTTATATAAAGGTACAGTTATTAATCCMTGTTTGACATATGAAAAAACTGATACTTGTAAAGGTTAAATCACTTAAAGGACACAGTGATTCCTTGTTGGAGAAGGATCTAAAATACAGAGGTCTAACTTCAGGGTTTATACTCTATATAATACAAAACTCTGTTTTGAAAGGACATTGCTTTGAAAATCATGTCAAAACAGATGCAAATGTAAACAGTGAAGTCTATATTATTACTCTTTTGTAGTAGTTTTAAATAACCTAGAACGTCAATATAAACCAATGTCGAGAATAGCCTGATATAGACAACATTTAATTGGGAGGGACCAGAATAATGATCCTATTTCATTGCAAGTTTAAGAACTTTTGAAGTTATTAGAGGTTTCAAAGTACATAAGGGGGGCTGGGGATGTGGCTCAAGCGGTAGCGCGCTTGCCTGGCATGCGTGAGGCCCGGGTTCGATCCTCAGCACCACATACCAACAAAGATGTTGTGTTCGCCGAAAACTAAAAAATAAATATTAAAAAAAAATTCTCTCTCTCTCTCTCTCCTCTTTCACTCTCTCTTTAAAAAAAAAGTACATAAGGGAAGCAAAATAATGTGTTAATATTTTATTGGCAGAACAAATGAAGGAACTAATATTTGTCCTCCTTCTCTCCCTCCCTTCATTCCATCTTTCCATCCATCCAATAACTGCATGCAATGGACACTTTCAAAACATCAATTAAATGCTAGATATTCAAAGACTACGTTAGGCATTGGCACTAAGGAATAACAGCAAATAGTGAGTCCGCTGCCTTCAGATTAATACTATCTTCAATTTACTACTGAAAATCTGTATTTTAACAGTAATAGTATTATGGTTTGGATCTGGGATGTTTCCCAAAGGCTCATGTACTTGATGGCTTGGTGCCAAAACAGCAATGTACAGAGGTAGGGATTTGGGGAAGTAGGTGGATCATGAGGACTCTGACCTCTCAGTGGATTCATCCATGGATGGCTGCATGTACTACTGGGAGGTGGTATTATTTRGAGAATGTTGGACACTGAAGGGTGTGACCTAGAAAGGCTGATCATGTTCCAGGCCACTTCCTGTCCTCTCTCTGCTTCCCAGCTTCCAGAGGCTGAACAGCTTTCTCCTGCTGCATCCTTCTGTCTTCATATTCTATTTCACCTCAGGCCAGAGCTGACTGACCCTGGATTGAAACCTCTAAAACTATGAACCAAAATAAACTTTTCATCCATTAAGTTGTTTATGGTATTTGCAWCACAGCAACAAAAAGTTGAATAACAAAGAACATCTCTAACTTGCAATTACATATGCTAACTATCAAATCCTTTTTTGAATAACTAAGCCCAATTTAGAGTAGGTAAAAGGATTATATGTTGGTTTACAAATAAAAAAGCACAGATCTGACAGAATAAAAATTCAGTTTTTTTCTTCATAGTACATTTTTGTTGAACATGAAAAACTGGTCTGTAATAATATTCCTTATTCAATGTTTATTCTATCAGAGAAGGGTAGTTATACGGCAGGGGGAAAAAAGTGAAAAGTTTAAAAAATCCTGAGTTTTAATGTCTTCCTACATTTGAAATGAGAAGTTTATGTTTTAAAACCAAAGTACTGAAGCATACTCTGAAGAGTTGATGCAGGGAAGGTAAAACAAAGGTGAAGGCACCTGGGAAAATATACTGTATTTGGAATCAGAAGATCTATTAGAATGTTGGCCCCAGTTACTTATTAAATGTGTTAGGCAAGCTGCTCATCTTCACTCAAACTTTATTTTCCCCCATTTATCAAACAGGGACTATGAAAGCTGTCAGTACTAACATGGAATCACTCTTGTCAAACTAATAATGAAGCTGGGAGACCATTAAAGAAGGGCCTTCTTGAGGGCATGCTGCAACAGGAATGCCATAAAGGACTTTCCTAACCAGAACTTTCCAGTTAAGTCACTTCTATTAAGACTCTCTTCAAGCAACAGTCAATACCACCAAAGAACAAGTGTCACTACCTGGGACAAGTCCCTTATAACCAATGAGCCTCATTTCAAAATGGCTTATATGGACTTCTCCTTTTGCCTTTAAAAGCTTCCCTTTGTCCTACCCCCTTGTCTGTACTTTCAGTCTACCATACCAGGCATATGCCAAATTGCAATCCCTTGCTATTCCTGAATAAACGCTTTGTTTACTGAAAGTCTGTATCTCTGCCATTCATTTTTGGTCAACAAGACAGAAATGCTTTCTCTATCTGCAGGGTTTCTCTAAGGGTGACCAAGATGCCACACCGAGATTTCCATACTCACCGAATTTTTATTTGATGAATAGTGCTACTCCACATGGAAGCAGAGCTGACTTCTCTTTCTCCACTTTAAATGCCCCACAACTACTGTGATGTAGTTGGAKAGAGTTGGTTTATATAGTTTTCCCCAGTGAAAACAGAAAAAATAGTGCAATCAGTAAAACTAAATAGGGAATGTGATTGTTTTGAGAAAGTTTAAAGCAACATGAATCCATAACTTATCTATAACTCACAGCTAACTATACTTATAACATTTACAAATACATTTTTCCAAATTATTTAATTTTATATGGAGATATATTTTCTCAAAGTAACAAAACAAACTGAGAACAACTACTACAAACCATGACACTAAATACATACTTCTTTTAATTTAGCTATCACTTATTAAGCAACTATATAGTATGTCTGGTGACTTGCCATTTATGTAACAAACATCTCACAAGTCCTACCAACCTCCTCGAGGAAAACCATTATCATCAAYCCTCTATAACACATGAGGACATGGGAGTACAGAGTGGATAAACAACATGGCCAAGGCCATAGAGCTCTGAAGGGGTAGGAACAGGAATTAACRTAAGTCTGTGTAACTGAAAGCTTTGCCCTTCATTGCTCTATCTTATACTTTGCTGCATTCCTAGAAGAGTCACAAGAAGATGATCTGCACACATAAGTGAAGACACACACAATGCAGATGGCTTCTAAACACCAACTATGTTCTGAGCCACAGAGAAGTTCAAATAAACAGAAGAGGTCCTCAGRTGTAACCAATATTTAGAAATAAGCATAGATT